GCCATTGCCTTCCCCTGAGGCTGAGAGAGTGTGACTTGCCCAAGGACCACCAGTGGGTTGGTTTCATGGCCAAGCTGGGAATTGAACCCTGGTCTTCAGAGTCCTAGTCCAACGCTCAAACCACTATGCCACACTGGCTCTCAAATGGTCATAATGCCAATTAAATCAATTCCAGTTCCAGGTTATAACACAACAAACTGAAGGCTTTCTAGATTCACATCCCACCCTGATCCTTGCTTTCCAAGCTGTCATTAACTGTGCATCTGTGGGGCAAAGCCTCAGAAGTCATGTTCAGGGATCATGCGCACAAAATGGGTGGTAGTCATAAAGGTGGCCTCTGATCACGTGCAGAGTATCTCCTCCTCCGTGCCTTCCACCAAGTATCCACACCCCATCTGTGCGCAACCTTTGATCGGGGAAGCTGGTTTTATGGCAGATGCCAATCCAAACCAAGATTATGGGTATTTTGGCATGTTGTCTGGACAGCGGGAAATCTCATCTTCTCCTTTGGGTTGAGCAGAAAAACATCCAAAAGTTCACATGCACAAGAACCAACTCTACACTTCTGTCATTCTCTGGTCTCCAGATCAAGAGCAGCCCCAACACACCTTCCTCTGGACTCATTTTTGGCACTCCAAAAGAGCAAGGGGGGGATTCTGTGGCCTTCCAGAGCTAGTAGGACTGCAATTCCCATCACCCAACCACCAGCACAACCCGTGGTGAGGAATGCTAGGAGCTGCCATCCAACATCATCAGGGGAAGCATATGGTTCCCACCCCTATCTTCGGCTGCATCTGCAGTGCAAAAATAATCCAGGTTGACACCACTTGAGCTGCCCTGGCTCAATGCTATGGAATTCTGGGAATTGCAGCTTTGTGAAACATTTAGCCTTCTCTGTCAAAGAGTTCTGGTGCCACAACAAACTACAGTTCCCATGTGTCCATAGTACTGAGCCACGGCAGTTAAAGTGGTGTCAACCTGAATTATTTCTGCAGTGCGGATGCTTGAGAGGGCCAATGAAGGAGGCAGAGAGAGCAACAGCCTCACCTTAGGACAATAAAGAGGGGCTCTCCCAGGCAACGGAGGCCCACATTCAAATCCCGAGAAGCCCTTTCTTGGGGTCCATCTGGTGGCTGGAGCCAAAGATTGGGGCCAAAAATACCAGCCTTGTCTAACTTAAAGCTCTGGACTGCTAGTAACAAGGGTGTTTTCGTCTTTCAGAAGTTTACAACCACTAGGAAACCATCGCATGAGTCCATCAAGGGAATAATAATAATAATAATAAAATTTATTTGGATACTGTCCATTCCTCCAGTGGCTGTGGAATGGGGCCACAGCCACTGGAGGAACCCAGTGAGAGTCAGGTAGGGACCCCAAGAAGGTGGAAAATTTGCCCCAGGACCTGAGGTTTTCCATAAACTTCTCTAGGGGCAGAAAAGCCCCACTGCCCTAGAGGGTCCAGTGAGGGGCACACCAAGAAAAGGAAGGTCTGTGGCATCCTTCCTACCCAAACCCTGAGCAGCCCCCCAAACAGCTTCTCCTCCCATGTGCCAGTGGGGGAATGGAGATGAAAAGCATGGAAACTGAACAGTACACTGGACAGCAACACCAGAGTCTTCGTGGGGAAACCTTTTTCCATCGGACACTTCAGTGAGACAAAGGGCTTGAGCCCTCATGGCTTTCATGCAATTACGCCACTAACACATACAGTGGGGGCCCTTGGTATCCGACAGGATTTGGTTCTGGGAGGACCCCCCCTCCTCCTCCCCATGGATACCAAAATCTGTGGATGCTCAAGTCCCAGTATATCCAATGGCATAGTAAAATGGCAAAATCAAGATTTGCTTTGTGGAGTTTATATACAATATATATATTCAAGCCGTGGATAAAGAACAGAGGGCCAACTGTACAATACTGACACTATCAGGCATATTGGTAGAGTCAGGATGGG